AATTTCGCCAAATTCATTCTGAACGTAACGAAAAAAATATATTTCATTGTGTTTGTTTATTATTAAATTATTGTAAACGAATTTAATATATATTTAGCTGGGTTAAACTAAAATAAATTGCGCTTGTTATAATAAGGTTAAGTAAGTTTTCTAAGACACTTTTGGCGCAAAATTATAATTTTTTACATTAACATTACTGAAAGAAATATATCTCCAAACGTATAAGAGAAATTCTTTTAAACGATTTAATTTTAAATGAGTTGTTGCTAATTCACCAGTTTTACATATTCGGCACATTATATATATATATATATATATATATATATAATATATATATATATATATATATATATATATATATATATATGAACCTAACGAAAAAAACATATTTCACTGTGTTTAGTATTAAATTATTTAGTATTAAATTACATTAACATTAATGAAAAATATATATCTTTAAACGTATAAGAGAAAATTTTAGGAAGGACTTAATTTTAAATGAGTTCTTGCTAATTGACCAGTTTTACATATTGGGCACGACATATATATATATATATATATATATATATATATATATATATATATATATATATATATATATATATATATATATATATATATATATAATGTCGTGCCGAATAGGCAGAACTTGCCATCTTGGCTTAAATAGCAACGCTCATCTTGCCATATAGGACAAGTGAAAATTTGTGTATGCAATAATTTCGCCAAAATCATTCTGAACCTAACGAAAAAAAAAAATTCACTGTGTTTGTTTAGTATTAAATTATTGTAAACAAATTTAAAATATATTTAGTTGGGTTAGGCTAAAATAAATTGTTCTTGCTATAATAAGGTTAGGTAAGTTTTCTAAGATTCTTTTGGAGCAAAATTAAAAATTCTTACATTAACATTAATGAAAAAAATATATCTTTAAACGTATAAGAGAAAATTTTAGAAAGGACTTAATTTTAAATGAGTTCTTACTAATTGACCAGTTTTACATATTCGGCACGACATATATATATATATATATATTATATATATATATATATATATATATATATATATATATATATATATATTATATATAAGGATTTACATTTATGTCTGTTAAAGAACAGGCTATATACATCCAAGTGTAGATAACAGGTTTTAAAAACCCTATTAACCAGCCAACCAAGTTTATCTGTTTGCGGATTGATAAAGAATCAGACATATGCATCACTACGGTATCTTTACTTAAAGACAACACGCCGTCCAATGACGTTTTAAATTAAATGCAAAGATAATTTTCGAAGACAGTAGATGAAATATTCAGTGGCTTAACCTTCCTGAACTACTTGTGTGTGTGTGTGTGTGTGTGTGTGTGTGTGTGTGTGTGTGTGTGTGTGTGTGTGTGTGTGTGTGTGTGTGTGTGATTGCTGCTAGCGCTGCATCTGCTGTTGAGGGCCAGCTGATGCCACAGTGGCCTTCCCATTGCTGCTAACGATGTGTTCTTAATTATCATAACGTTGGTACTAATCTGTGTATGCTTTTAGTGTTGTTGTTGCTACAGCTACTGATGTTGGCAGTGTTGTTGCTAGACTGGTTGTAACTGCTGGTGATTGTTGCATCTCTGTTGTTGCTAGACTGCTTGTAACTGCTGGAGACAGTGTGGCATCTCTGATTGTTGTTCTTAGTCTAGTGGTAACTGCTGGTGATTGTGTTGCATCTCTGTTGTTGCTAGACTGGTTGTATCTGCTGGTGATTGTTGCATCTCTGTTGTTGCTAGACTGGTTGTAGCTGCTGGTGATTGTTGCATCTCTGTTGTTGCTAGACTGGTTGTAGCTGCTGGTGATTGTTGCATCTCTGTTGTTGCTAGACTGGTTGTAGCTGCTGGTGATTGTTGCATCTCTGTTGTTGCTAGACTGGTTGTAGCTGCTGGTGACTGTGTTGCTTTTGTTGCTATTGTTGCTGCTTTTTTACTATTGTTGCTTCTCTTACTTCTGTTGCTTCTTTTACAACTTTTATCTGTGACTAGTGTTGCCTCTCTTAATAGTGATGCCTCTCTTCTATTGCCTCTATTACTATTGATGCTTTTGTTACTGTTGATGCTTTATTTACTGCTGTTCCTTCTTTTGCTACTGATACTTCCGTTACTAGTTGATTTTGCTATTGCTGTTGCTTCTGTTACTAGTATTCTGTTACTAGTATAGTTGTTTCTTTTGTTGCTTGTTACTGTTGTTGCTTGGAACTCTTGTTACTTTTTGCTGTTGTTGCTTTTAATATTTGTTGCTTTCAACTTTTGTTGCTTTTATCTTTTGTTACTCCTCATTGTTATTGTTGCTGTTACATACTGTTATTGCATATGTAATATATGTTGCAATTAATGCTACTGTTAGTGCTGTTCAATCAGTTACTACTGTGAATTTTTTATTACTGCTGCTGCTGCTGCTGCTTGTGTTTGTTACTGTTGCATGTGCTAATGTTGTTCCTTCTGTTATTGTTGTTGGCTTTTTAATTACTGAGTACGTTTCTTTTTGCATCTGTTACTGCAGTTACTTCTGTTACTTTTTTCTTTTGTTATTACTGTTGCTTCTGTTACTGAAGATACTATTTGTTATGTTTCATCTGTTAATGCTGTTGATATTTTAGCTGCTGTTGTTATTGAAGCTAATATTGGATAGTTTACTTTTTATGTTGCTGTTGTTGTTACTGTTGTTGCTGCTACTGCTGTTGCTGCTTCTGTTACTGCTATTTTTCTAACATCTTTTGTTTTTTTTATACTACTGTCACTTCTGTTACTATTGATTCTGTTACCATGATTGTTTCTGATACGGAAGTTGCCTTTGCACTTTCCTCTGTTAATTCTGTTGCTTCTGTAACTCTTGTTGCCTCTGTTACTACCAGTGCTACAATAAATGTTTTTTGCTTCTGTTGCTGCTTATGCTGTTGTCACTGATGCTGTTGCGGTTGTTGCGTCTGTTGCTTTTGGTAGCTGCTGATGCTACTGTAGCTTCTGTTGCATCAGTTAGTGCTGTTGCTGCTGCTGCTGGATATGTGAGTGGCAGACAAGCACCTGGACACCCAGCTGGTGTTGAGTGGCAGACAAGCACCTGGACACCCAGCTGGTGTTGAGTGGCAGACAAGCACCTGGACACCCAGCTGGTGTTGAGTGGCAGACAAGCACCTGGACACCCAGCTGGTGTTGAGTGGCAGACAAGCACCTGGACACCCAGCTGGTGTTGAGTGGCAGACAAGCACCTGGACACCCAGCTGGTGTTGAGTGGCAGACAAGCACCTGGACACCCAGCTGGTGTTGAGTGAAGGAGGAGACGATCGATAAGCAATTTGCATAATCGTTCATGTTCCTATTTAGTGAGGTATTGTGAGACCTGGAAGCTAGCTCTAGTGTGGCATGGTAATGGCGCAAGCTAGCTCTGATGTGGCACGGTGATGGTGCAAGCTAGCTCTGATGTGGCATAGTGATGATGCAAGCTAGCTCTGGTGTGGCACAGTGATGGTGCAAGCTAGCTCTGGAGTGGCAGTGTGATGATGCAAGGTAGCTCTGGTGTGGCATAGTGATGGTGCAAGCTAGCTCTGGTGTGGCATGGTGATGGCGCAAGCTGACTCTGGTGTGGCACGGTGATTACGCACGCTAGCTCTGGGGTGGCTCTGCGATGGTGCAAGCTAGCTCTGGGGTGGTTCTGTGACGGTGTAAGCCATGTCTAGTGAGGTTCTGTGATGGTGTAAGCCATCTCTAGTGAGGTTCTGTGATGGTGTAAGCCAGCTCTAGTGAGGCTCTGTGATGGTGTAAGCCATCTCTAGTGAGGGTCTGTGATGGTGTAAGCCAGATGTAGTCAGGTTCTGTGATGATGCAAGCCAGCTCTAGTGAGGTTCTGGGATGGTGTAAGCCATCTCTAGTGAGGTTCTGTGATGATGCAAGCCAGCTGTAGTGAGGTACTGTGATGGTGTAAGCCATCTCTAGTGAGGTTCTGTGATGATGCAAGCCAGCTCTAGTGAGGTTCTGTGATGATGTAAGCCATCTCTAGTGAGGCTCTGTGATGGTGTAAGCCATCTCTAGTGAGGTTCTGTGATGGTGTAAGCCAGATCTAGTCAGGTTGTGTGATGCAAGCCAGCTCTAGTGAGGTTCTGGGATGGTGTAAGCCATCTCTAATGAGGCTCTGTGATAGTGTAAGCCGGCTCTAGTGAGGTTCTGTGATGGTGTCAGCCAGCTCTAGTCAGGTTCTATGACGGTGTAAGCCTGCTCTGGTTGCAACCAGTGACGGCAAAAGACAGCTGTGGTAATGGTATGTGATAGTACACATGCACTGTTTTGATAATTTGTGATGGTACAACGTAGCTGTTATGTTAGTTTTTATCAGTATAAGTCATCTTCAGCAACATTATGTACTCAACTAGTATTCACCAGAAGAAGACCTCTATATTTAAATATTAACTTGTCATTATCCTCGAGTACATCTGTAAACTCAGTACTAACCACGAAATAAATTCTCCAGGAAATTCTGCAATAGTAGCCATGTATATATCAGGTATATATATTTCTTTCAATGTATTGCCGGGAATCGAACCTGTGGGTATGTCTGTGCGAAACCTGAGCCCTAGTAGATAAACAGTAGATAAACACTCGTTAAGTTAGCAGGCGTCACGGTCTGTAATATAAAACGCAAGGTTTTTCTTGATAAACAAGAAACCTGTGCAAGCGTTTTATTTATCAACATATCGGGTTACTAAATCATTTATTCAAGTTTTGTTTGATATCTGTACCCGACTACCAGATTTTAATGAAGTTAGGTACGTTCATTCCGAGTTTTCAGTGTACACGTTTCTGAAATTATAACAATATTCAGCTCAGATAACGCCTCCGTAAATGCAAGGTAAGAGCAGTTGCTCGCCTCAGACTTAGTCAGATATTTGCACTTTGAGTTGCATTATTTTTTATGTATATTATGAGCGAATATTCTGTTAATGTGTATTACAGTCTAGTGTTATTCTTGCAGAGATGCTGCAGCCTCTACACTGAGCTAACCCTGCAACAAGAGATCCCTGGCGGGTAAGAAATGTCGAGATTTTATATTCTGCATGTTATATATATATATATATATATTATATATATATATATATATATATATATATATATATATATATATATATATATATATATATATATATATATATAATTTTTCATAATTATACAATGTGTAGTGTATTAAGATTTAATTTGTGTATTAACCGATTTTTGTTTGTGGGGGTCGATACTCGGCTCCTGGTGCAGCCTCCTAAACCAGACTGACCGGCATCACAGATTTTTGGCCATTCGGACCTCATAATATCTAGTCATGAAGCTGTGCATTGAATTTGCCTCCACCACTGCCTCGTCTAAGTCATTTCATTTTTCAACCACAAAACTATAGAATACTTAAGGCTCATCAACGTTTTTAATATATGCCTATGTCTCACTTTATCATGGTCCTCTTTAATTAGTTTCTTCCTATCTGTCCTATCAGTTCTTCTTAAGATTTTGCAATTATCAGTCATGTCACTTCTTGTCTCGACTAAAGTCGCCAGGTTAATTTCTTCCAACATCTCATAGTCCATTTTTCGAGTTTCACATACCTGACCAGGTGTGGAATCCAGACTGGAACCGCATACTCAATGGTCGACCAAACACTTGTCATAAGATTCTGAAGGGTTCTTTATTATAGTTACTGAATGCTGTTCTAAGTTTCCTTAACCTGCATATGCCGCTGCCGTTATATGGTGATATAGTAATTGATATACTCGCCTCCAGGTCTTCTTCACTTCGACATTTGCAGAATCTCTCTGCCCGTGCTGTACTCAGTGTTCGGTCTTTCCTCTCCCTCAACGACACGTGACCTTATGCATTTCTTTGAGATGAACTCAAAGAGCCATTTCTTTGATCACGGACTCTTGAAGTATCTCTGGAGTTTATCACGGTATCAGTCCCCTCTGGTACTCATTCATGAATCTTAGACTAGTGGCCCTAACACTGATCCTTACGGTACCCCCACTTCGGATGTTCCTTCCCATACTGTTATTCTCTGCTTTTTCTCGTACATTCACTGGATCACTCTGTCTTTTATCACAGATTGTTCTTCTAATTTCTCTACTAATTTTTGGTGTGATACTGCATCAAATGCTTTCTTTGTGACTCTGTCGTCGATTTCAAACGCATTCGTGAAAAGTTATTTTCCAACCCTAAATTCGTTCAGTATTTCTGAAGTAAATTGTCTTCTCTCCAAGTGCTCCAATATATTTTTCCTTACTATCTTCTCCTGAAAGTTTGACAGAATGTATGTTAGAGATACTGGCCAGTAATTCAAAGGTTTCTTGTCTGTCTCTCTTCTAAGAATTAGGGATCACATTTACCCTTTTCCAATTTTCTGGCAGCTGGCCTAATTGGAGAGATTACTTGAATTCCTTTCTTACTGAGTTACGTGTGTGGGAGTGTGTGTGTGTGTGTGTGTGTGTGTGTGTGTGTGTGGTGTGGTGTGTGTGTGTGTGTGTGTGTGTGCGTGTGTGCGTGTGTGTGTGTGCGTGCGTGTGTGTGTGTGTGTGTGTGTGTGTGTGTGTGTGTGTGTGTGTGTGTGTGTGCGTGCGCGCGTGTGTGTGTGTGTGTGTGTGTGTGTGTGTACACTCACCTAGTTGTGGTTGCAGGGGCCGATTCACAGCTCCTGGCCCCGCCTCTTCACTGGTCGCTATTATGTCACTCTTCGTGCTCCATGAGCTTTATCATACCTCTTTACTTTCCAGACTATTCCACTTTCAAGCAACTCTGTGACTGAAGAAATAATTCCGAACATCCCTGTGATTCATCTGAGTCTTCAACTTACAATTCTGACCCCCTTTTGCTGTTTCCCATCTCTGGAACAGCCTGTCTCCGTCCACCTTGTCAATTCCTCTCAGTATTTTATATGTCGTTATCATATCCCCCCTATCTCTCCTCTCCTCCAGTGTCGTCAGGTAGATTTCCCTGAACCTCTCCTAGTAAGTCATGCCCCTTAGGTCCGGGACTAGTCTTGTTGCAAACCTTAGCACTTTCTCTAATTTCCTTACGTGCTTGGCGGTGTGGGTTACAAACTGATGCTGCATACTCCAATAAGGGCCTGACGTACACAGTGTACAGGGTTCTATACTATTCCTTATTGAGATGTCGGAATGCTGTTCTTAAGTTTGCTAGGCGCCCATATGCTGCAGCAGTTATATGGTTGATGTGAGCCTTAGCAGATGTGTCCGGTACTATACTCACCCCAAGATCCTTTTCTTTGTATGAGGTTTATAGTCTCTGGCTCTCTAGACCGTACTCCGTCTGCGATCGTCTTTGTCCTTCCCCAATCTTCATGACTTTGCACTAAGTGCAAAGTCATGAAGATTCTGGACCAGGCCTGCAGCCTGACCAGATCCCTCTGTAGTTCTGCCTGGCCCTCGTCCGATTGAATTCTTCTCATTAACTTCACATCTGCAAACAGGGACACTTCTGAGTCTATTCATTCCATCATGTCGTTTACATATTCCAGAAACAGCACAGGTCCTAGGACAGACCCTTGTGGAACCCCGCTCGTCACAGGCGCCCACTCTGAAACCTCGTCACGTACCATGACTCGCCGAGGTCTTCCCGGCAGATATTCCCTGATCCATTGCAGTGCCTTCCCTGTTATACCTGCTTTGTCCTCCAGCTTTTGCACTAATCTCTTGTGTTGAACTGTGTCAAAAGTCTTCTTAAAGTCCAAGAAAACGTAGTCTACCCACCTGTCTCTCTCTTGTCTTACTACTGTCACCCTGTGTGATGAATGGTTTGAAAAACCGACAAGTTGAAGATTGAGACACTTATGCAGCATATGGGAATCTTTATTCAGGAAACGTTTCGCCACACAGTGGCTTCATCAGTCCAATACAAAGAGGAAGGCGTAAGGAGAGGAGGAGTATGAGGTAATCAGTCCCTCAGCCTGGAGTCGATGTGTTCAGTCCATCAATCTTGTAGAATGTACAGCATAGGGCCGTAGACGTGGCTTATATACTGTAGTGAGGTGACTTGAAGCAGACGGAGGCGGGGTCATAGTGGTATCATCCACTAGTCGAAGTAGGTCTTTGTCCAAAGGTTGAACAAGCGTTGAAGAATTCTTTGTAAGAAGATCCCATGATGCTGCAGTGTCTGACAGTTGTGATGAATGGTTTGAAAAACCGACAAGTTGAAGATTGAGACACTTATGCAGCATATGGGAATCTTTATTCAGGAAACGTTTCGCCACACAGTGGCTTCATCAGTCCAATACAAAGAGGAAGGCGTAAGGAGAGGAGGAGTATGAGGTAATCAGTACCACTATGACCCCGCCTCCGTCTGCTTCAAGTCACCTCACTACAGTATATAAGCCACGTCTACGGCCCTATGCTGTACATTCTACAAGAATGATGGACTGAACACATCGACTCCAGGCTGAGGGACTGATTACCTCATACTCCTCCTCTCCTTACGCCTTCCTCTTTGTATTGGACTGATGAAGCCACTGTGTGGCGAAACGTTTCCTGAATAAAGATTCCCATATGCTGCATAAGTGTCTCAATCTTCAACTTGTCGGTTTTTCAAACCATTCATCACAACTGTCAGACACTGCAGCATCATGGGATCTTCTTACAAAGAATTCTTCAACGCTTGTTCAACCTTTGGACAAAGACCTACTTCGACTAGTGGATGATACCACTATGACCCCGCCTCCGTCTGCTTCAAGTCACCTCACTACAGTATATAAGCCACGTCTACGGCCCTATGCTGTACATTCTACAAGATTGATGGACTGAACACATCGACTCCAGGCTGAGGGACTGATTACCTCATACTCCTCCTCTCCTTACGCCTTCCTCTTTGTATTGGACTGATGAAGCCACTGTGTGGCGAAACGTTTCCTGAATAAAGATTCCCATATGCTGCATAAGTGTCTCAATCTTCAACTTGTCGGTTTTTCAAACCATTCATCACAACTGTCAGACACTGCAGCATCATGGGATCTTCTTACAAAGAATTCTTCAACGCTTGTTCAACCTTTGGACAAAGACCTACTTCGACTAGTGGATGATACCACTATGACCCCGCCTCCGTCTGCTTCAAGTCACCTCACTACAGTATATAAGCCACGTCTACGGCCCTATGCTGTACATTCTACAAGATTGATGGACTGAACACATCGACTCCAGGCTGAGGGACTGATTACCTCATACTCCTCCTCTCCTTACGCCTTCCTCTTTGTATTGGACTGATGAAGCCACTGTGTGGCGAAACGTTTCCTGAATAAAGATTCCCATATGCTGCATAAGTGTCTCAATCTTCTACTGTCACCCTGTCATAGAACTTCAGTAGGTTTGTAACACAGAGTTTCCCATCCCTGAAACCGTGCTAGTTGATAAACTCATTCCTTTCTAGGTGCTCTACCACCTTCTTCATTACTTTGCATTCTATACATGTCAGTGACACTGGTCTCTAGTTTAATGCTTCGTGTCTGTCTACTTTTTTTTTTAAACTGTGACTACATCTGCTCTCTTCCATGCCTCAGGTAGTCGCCCTGTTTCGATAGATGTGTTGAAGATTGTTGTTAGTGGTACGCAGAGCGCCTCTCCTCCCTCTCTCAGGACCCATGGAGAGATGTTATCTGGCCCCATCGCCTTTGAGATATCTAGCTCACTTAGCAACCTCTTCACTTCTTCCTCGGTTGTATGTATTTTGTCCAACACTTGATGCTGTACCTCACCTCTCCATCTTTCTGGAATCCCTTCTGTCTCCTCTGTGAACACTTCTTTGAATCTCATGTTGAATTCCTCACATACTTTTCGGTCGTTTCTCGTGATCTCCCCTTCTCCCCTCCTTACTTCCTGACCCTGATTACCTGGTTCTTGACTGTTGTTTTCCTGCTGACGTGGCTATAAAACAGCCTCGGGTCAAATTTGGCTTTTGCTGCTGCTTCATTTTGGGTTTGTCGTTGGGACTCCCTTCTTACCTGTGCATATTCATTTCTGGCTTTACGACTGCTCTCGTAATTCTCC